TTTTGTAATACATGATCGAAATGTTTGTTTTTTTTTTTGTAATCCATGATTGAATTTTTTGTTTTTTGCTTTTTTTGTAACCCATGATAGAGTTTTTTGTAATCCATGATTGAATTTTTTGTAATCCATGATCGAACTGTTTTTTTCTTTTTTTGTAATCCACGATTGAATTTTTTGTTTTTTTTTGTTTGTTTTTTTTTGTAATCCATGATCGAATTTTATGTAATCCATGATCAAATTTTATGTAATCCATGATCGAATTTTATGTAATCCATGATCGAATTTTATGTAATCCATGATTGAATTTTTTGAAAATTTGTGATTTTTTTTTTTTAATCCATGATCGAATTTTTTTTTGTAATCTTGATAGAATTTTTTGAAAATTTGTGATTTGTTTTTTAATCCGTGATCGATTTTTTTGAAAATTTGTTATTTTTTTTTTAATCCATATTATTCAAAGAGAAAATGAGAGAGATGATGATTCTGAGGCCGCCCTATCCCAGCCATATTATTCACATATCGAGTCCCAACAGTAACAGTGTAGGGATGAGCACGAAATACTGTAAATTAAATGTTGAATGACGGTTCATGCAGGGAAAGAACATATCAATATTCGCATATTAATTCAAAAACATGAAAATTCTTAATGGAGTACCCTCATTTTTTATTGAATTCCTAAAAAATAATATTTATAATGAATTTTAATAATTTTTTCGATTTTTTTTTAAGCTTTATTCTGACCGATTCACCCGATTCCAGATCCGGATCGCCGATTCACCGATCCGGATCGGTTTTTTGGAAGCTCGATCCGGATCACCGATCCGTTTTTTAAACCATTGGTTGAGAGAGTTGAGAGAGAGAGAGTTTGATATTTTTGGTTTTAGTTTTCATTTTTTTTGACAACTGAAAAATATAGAATCAAAGATTTACAAAAGAGATAGGCATCAAAATAAATAGTAAGTAATTATTAGGATATTTAAAATCAGCTCAGAGTGATATTTCCTAATAACTAAAACTACCAAAAAAAAAATGCAATAAATGTGGAGTAAACTATTATTGCTCGTCATAAATTACGAACATAAACCTTTTACAATTACAGTTCTAGCCATTAGGGCACCAAGTACAATGCATTTCTCTAGAAATCCTCATGCATGAATCCCTAAACCCTAGAAATTCATTATACAATATCTTAAAAGTAAATTTATGAAAGGAGGATTTGGAGCCCTAAAAATGTCTTCATCTTGTCCTATGTGTCAAATCTAAACCGTTCTGATTAATTAGATTTACGATGTTTTGGGAAACTACAAATTGATTTTATAAAAAGAAATAATAAAAATTTACAAAATAAAAAGAATGGCGACACCACTAGGTCACGTGGCGAGCAGATCAACTCGGGTGAGTTCCGAGTTGAGTTTTCAAACCATAATTTACTATCCTCATGCATGGAGAGTTTATGAACCCCATCGGTGACAATCATCACTATCAGGATAGTATTAGTGGGGAGTCCTATCAAAATATTACCGTCTTTGTTTTTAGGAAAAATATCAAAAAAAGGGTTAAAACTTTTTACGATATCACTAAAGGGATCAAAAGACTATAAATTATACTTGAGGGTATATTTTTAAATTTGTGCGTCATCGAAAAATACTAAACAATTTCCAATTACCTGTATTTGGTATTAGAAAGCAAGAACAATTAGAGGTACTTTGGTAATTTTACCACAAATCATCATTTAGTTAAGGTCTTTTTGGGCAAAATTATCAAAATACCCTTAATTGTTTAGGCTTTTCCCTAATGCATATTGGGAAATTTTTTTGTACTTTTTTGAAGACGTAACTAATTCATACATAAATTTAAAAGCATAACCTCAAGTATAGTTTGTGATATTTTGAACCTTTAAGTGATTATGTAAGGGGTTTTAACTCCTTTATTGATATTTTCCATATTATATATTATGAAATTGTTTTTTAGTAACATTTATAATTAATTCAAATCGCACACAATTAAAAATATAGAGACGCTAAATATTTCACTAACGATAAAGTTCACAATACTTTCTCGCCAAAAGACTTCATCCTCCCTCGGGCAAGGAGTATTTTAGGAAACCAAATTTTAGGATGTTACCTTCTCATACCTATGTTCTAAACTCGATAATGAAAATTTCTAAATTACATTCTTTATGGACTTGAGAAAAAAAGGGGTTGTCACTTGGTGTGACAGTGAAAAGCTCGGGTAACCAACACAAGAGCGTGAGTTCGAGTCTTGAGGCGGCCACTTTGTACATAAAAAGCCAAATGTTAGAAACTTTTCCAGCCCACCCCTCCTGGGACCTTGCCTA